TAAACTTTTACCCCATTCTTTCAATTTCTCCATGGTTTACTGGCATGTTCCTCATTGAATTTCATATGTGGTTAAATATGTATGCTCCACTTTGAAGGAGCACAAACATATTGAACTCCTTATTGTTTCCGTTGGCAATCTGATGAAATATTTTCTTTCCTTTCTGTAAAATCCCTACCTCTCCATTTCTCTCTCACCTGAAATATTCCCAGCGTTCAACCAGTTTTGTTCTTTTAGGGACATTCCATAATCTATGAAACGCATTAGGGCAGGTGGTGCTCACCCTTATTACACCAAAGAGCCACATAACCCTAAGCACAATTTTGGGTGTACCAAACAGATTCTACATACATTTTAATAAGATTTAAAATCACCTGTATTGATTTATATTTTGTTTGCTTGTTATGTTTGTATTTAGATACGTTGTTCCCAAATACAGTATTGTCTGTTTATACAGTTGTATAAACTAAAATAATTTGAAAATGATGAGAGAATTCTAATGAATCAGCTGTTAGTTCACTGTGTTGAAGCAGGCTATGGGTCTTAAGAAATGATCTGGTGGGCTATGTATGGCCTGCAGACTACAGGTTCAGCATCCCTGCATTATGGGGTAGGTAGGCCTTCATTTTTTGTGTTTCAGTGTTGAAGTGTTCTGAGATGTAGATAGGGCTTGAAAATACTCGAAAAATGTTACGTAATCTATGGACGCCTCCATACTCATTATTTTTGGGTGCCAGTGTCTTTTTTTTTTTCTGTTTCTTGCAACTTCCCTAAAGCTTTGCCTATTTACCTTTTGATAACTTGTACATTTCTTTCTAGAATAAATTCTGATGTTAATGATCATATGCTCACTAAACTCAGCTGTCTCTCTGCTTCTTATTTATGATTCATAGTTTTTCTCTTACTATCAAAGCGTTGTAGCTGTTCTATACATTTGGTAAGGAAACAGGGCTGGCTCCAGATATAAACATCCTTTACAATGATTACATTTGATGAGATGGCAAGTGAAATCCCTTCTTCTGCTCCTGCAACCACAGACCAACCACACCAAAAGGGCAAACTGCCTGCACATTCTTCCGTTCCTGGCATAGAATTCATTTTCCAAACGGCACCTTGCATTTAACATTTCTGCACTTACCAATTTATGTTACCTTGCTTATGCTTCCCTGCCATAACCCTTTCTTTGGGACTAAGGAGAGCTGGGTTCTAGTCGTAGCTGTGCTACACCGTATTAGGCAAGTCTCTTCACCACCCTGTGGTTCTTTTTCCCATCTGTAAAATGAGGATAAGAAGACTGACCTCCTTTGTAAGAACACTTCAAGATCTACATGAGAAGTATTATAGATACCATCCTCTTCCTCCGCATTGTATTGCGTTCATCCTCTTCCATTTTCTTCTAGTGCAACAGGCTTCTAACTGGAAGCAATGTTGCCCATACATCACAATGGCCTAAAGGACCCATTGTGATCAGCTAGTGTCACTGCCTGTATACCACAGGCCATAGAACAGACCTCATATTGCCAATTTGGGCTCAATGTCTGGCCCATGAGACATTTTGTTTAGCATTGCCCATGTGCAGGGTTCCCAGATTCCATTGGCTTCCATCTGCATAGGTTTTTTTCCTACTAGTATTACGTAAGTGACATGCATATAAAACAAGGGCACATGAAGTGAGTTGCAAGCTGATGGCACACAACATTGACGGTGCGAGCTGTGCTCTCCCTCTGCAGCCAATCAAAGCGCTGCTATGGATTCAGTCAGAACACCCCACAGATTCTAGGTACACAAGCGTAATTAGCATTAATGCTCTATCCTAGGAGATTGTCTTTGTCGTAACAATTTTGTGGCCCACTCAGATAAAGGAGGGCCACTGAGGCAGCCCACTCAGTAACCTTGGTTGCCTATTGCTGCCATAGAACTTCCCCAAAATAATTCCTATTAGGATCTTTTGGGGAAACACCCAATCTTGCTAGTGATGGAGCATCTGCCACAACCCATGACACATTGTTTCACTGGTTAATTACTCACCATTACAAATGTATGTCTTTGTGGTCTGAATTTGCTTAGCTTTAGCTCCCAGCCATTGGATTGTGTTATACATTCCCCATTTTTTTTGCTCAACACATAGGTACTTAGGACTCTTTGTTAGGCTAAATAGAGGGAGCCCCTCAAGGCTGTCACCATAAGGCATGTTTTCTGTTCCTTTTGTCATGCACCTGTCTCTCCACTGAACCCTCTACAGTTTATCAACATTCTTCTTGAATTGCGAACACAAGAACTGGTCACAGTATTCCAACAGCCATTACATCAATGCCTAATACAGAGTAGGGATGTAAAAGTGTAGTCATAACCGTTTAACTGATAAACAAAAGCTTATAGGTTAATGCTATTGACTACATGCGTTTCTCCTCCCTCCCCCCCACTAGACATTTTTTTTAGCAGGCTGGCCAGCAGCCTGGCTTAATCCTGGCTCATGCTGGGTCCACGACCTATTGCTGCTGCAGCTCTGCATTGAAAGTATATTAAGAGCTAGGCGGGCAGGTGTCCCTGCTCACGCTGGGTCTAGGAGCTCACATTCCCCTGGACAGGGGCTACTGCCACCCTGTGCTGCTGCCGCCTCTCTATCACAGGCAGCAGCATGGGGCAACAGCAGCTGGTACACAAGGGGAGCTGGCTTCTAAATTGGCTCCCCTTGTGGACCAGCTCCTGCCTGGTGCCCCCATGCTGCTGCCTTTGATACAGAGGCAGCAGAGCAGTGTGGCATGGGGCTCCTCAGGAGTGGGGCCGGAGCGCACTGGGTGCTGACCCCACCCCTGGGTACTATAGAATAGTCAAGTAACCAATAGGAATTCACGAGGTTAATAAACTATTCAATTAACTGATATTGAACATCCCTAATGCAGGGGTAAAATAACTTCTCTACTCCTACGCTAGATTCCCTTGCAATTCTTCCAATAATAGCATTAGCTCTTTGGGGCACAGCAGCCCACTGGGAGCTCTGTATTTGTGATTTGTCCCTATGCTGTGATGATTTTCTGTTTACAATTACATTTGAAACCTGTCAGCTAGCCAGCTTTTAATCCACGTAAAGTGTGCTATGTTAATTTTATATTGGTCCAATTGTGCTAATCAAAATGCCGTACAAGGTAGTGTAATGCAAGTATAAATTGAAGGGGCCTTCATGTATATGAGTATTAAGTCCTTAGAATTTTGCCATTGACTTTGTTGGATCAAGTTCAAAGTCTTAAAACTGAGAACTGCACTTATAGATTCTAAGACCAGAGCAGACCATTATTATCTGGTTTAATATCCTATAAAATGCAGGGCAAATAATTAAATTAACTCCCTGACTTAACTCCACTGGAGTCCATCTCTAGCAAGTGGTGGAAGAGTCTGGATTTGTGCACTGTACCTACCATTTAACAGTTGCTTCAGTTTGTTTAATGGCAAGTATACATTGTGCTGGTAGTTATGATTTGATCTGCTCCTGCATGAGGTTATGGTTACTTTCTGAATATTTTTTACCTTCAAACATCTACAGCCTCTCACTTACTTTAAACAGTGATTACCTGTTCTGTTCATTCCTTCTGAAGCATTGGGCATTGGCCACTGTAAGAAGACAGGAAACTAGGCTAGATGAACCTTTGGTCTGACCTAGTATGACCATTCTATGTTCTTAAATAAAAACTTGTGAGCAGTATTTCAGCTCATCATCAAAATTAACCAGGGCCAATGAGCCCTGATACCTCATTCATTTATGTAGGTCTTAAATGACTTAAAGGAAACAACTCATGTACATAAAGTTAAATGTGTGAGTGTTTGTAGCATAGTATATTGGTCTTTTCCCAGACCGTTTTCTAGTCAAATTCGTATTGTATTATCCAAAAAGGTTGCTCTCTTGATGAGGACATTCTTATAAATAATTTGTATCTAGCAAGAAAAAAGCTGCCCATAGTTCAGATAAAAATTACTGCTTCTTTTCCCCTTATTGAATCCATCTTCTTACCTTCTCTGTAGCCCAACCAATTTCTTGCTCATTCAAATGCAGTCTTGTATGCTGGTCTTGATAAGCTAATACTGTATCATCAAAACGTTAATGTCTTTGTACCATAAAGCCAACGTTTAAAATCAATTGTATGTCAAAAATACAACACTAATATTGTAATATAGCTCTGTTCTAAACTAGATGGTCATGATTTTTAGGGCAGCTTATTTTTAAAATAGTCCACGGAATTTGACAAGTGTAATAAAGGACAGTTATTTGCCAGAATTAGAGCTGCACATTATTAATAACCTAGAAGAACATTAGAATACTACCTTTCTGGGGAGACCAGCTTGGCAATCTTTATAAAGAAACTGGAAAGCCTATTGAACTGGAGAGTCTATAGAGTCCTTGCTCAGCAGGGTATGGCTAGAGCTTTCTCTAAAGCCCTGCTAAGCCAGCTGGCAGCCTTTTATGCATAAGGACCTCCTGCAACTAAGACAGTTATAGGTTACAACCCTGTTAGAGGACTCTGAATGAGAGAGAATACAGGATTATATTCCTTGCCATGCACAATAGCTACTGATATTTTAATACAGTGAACTATTCTGAGCTTGAGGGAGAAATGAAAGTCCGACCAGACCCCTTGCATTGTAGACCTGGCTGTGTTCTTATGTGACCTTGGGCTAATCATTTAACCTCTCTGTTCCCATCTACATAAAAGGCATGCTGTTGCCTCACAGATGAAATGTAACAGTGTTTGAACTCTTTGGATGAATGATATATTCAAGTAACTATTTGTTTTCTTGTAATGATTCTGGGTACAGTATGGTACTTTGCTAATGAGACCGTATCATCATTTTTGCCTTAGTGTTTCAAACTGGGAATACTCTTCGAACTTTCATTTAAAAAAAGGATATATTGCTGCTACACTAGAGGCTTTGTTGACCATTTGCTAAAATATTTGGAAAAGGGGGGTTCCTGCTGCTATTTTAACGACAATGTCCCTTCATTTCAGGTCCTGTTTGTTCCCAGGCACTGGTGGCACTACGTAGAAAGTGTTGACCCCATCACAGTCAGTATAAACTCTTGGATTGAACTGGTATGTTCCTTTTAAGCCATTATTATGTAAGTCTTACGGTACAAAGCATAGGTATGCCCTATAAGATAGGCTCAGTAGCCAAAAACAAATAATTCTGCCCCATATCTGATGACATCATGAGCCACATTAGAGTGGTTTATAATAATAATTTAATATTTACATAGCATCCTGAGGGAGACTAACAAGGATCGTTTATCACCTATCACTAGAATGTAGCTACGTAGGTCAACACATTGCACAATGGTTTGTGTTTGCCTGGATGTTTTTAGTAAGGAAAATCAGGAAGCAGAATAACTTCTCTAATGCTACAGAGGGGAATTTGACCAGGTCAGAGAGTTCTCATCTGCCTGCTCTTGAGGAAACAGCTGGGCTACAGGAAGCCATATAAAGGCTCCCTTAATCTTGTCCTCTGTCTAGGGTTTGGAAAGGAAGGAAGCAGGCTCTACTCCTAACCACATGATCAGTTAGACTTCCCATGAATAAGGATTTGAAGACTCAGAATTCCAGGCCCTGATTCAGCAAAGCATTTGAACTCAAGCAAGTCCTTAAATTCACCCTATTTATTCAGCAAAGTAATTAAATACATGCTTAATGTTAACTTGTGGTTTCAATGGGACAAAAGCAATATGCTTTGAAGTAACAGGTTAATATTAAGCACATGTTTAATTGCTTTGATGAATATGGATGGATTTTAAGTATGAGGTTGGGATTGGTCCTGCCTTGGGCAGGGGGCTGGACTTGATGACCTCCTGAGGTCTCTTCCAGCTCTATGATTCTATGAGCTTCTTGAAGTTAAGCGTGAGCTTGATTCTTTGCCTGTTCAGACTAGCAAAGACTCTGCTTAAGTGCTTTTCTAAATCAGGCCCTAAATGACAGACAAAAAATGAATGACAAAGAACATGAGCTGCCTGGAATGTTTTAATTCATATCTTCCTGAGGACATAGATTGTGCTTGTATTGGATTTTTTGAGTTTGTTAATTTACCTTTTCTCTAGGCGTTGATTTTTACTGTGCTCACCAACAGGTATGTGATAATTTCAGTGATACAGTCTCAGTACAGGTTGAACCTCCCAACTGGGGAAGCCCTGGCATTAGTGAGGCAGGCAGTAAGCTGGGAGCTCCCACCCCAGCTGGGCCAGGTGACTGGGGAGTTCCAGCCCCAGCTGGGGACTCTCCAGTTACAGTGGGACTGTTGGCAGCCAGGTGGCCCCGGCCAGGAACCCCCCCAGTGGCACTGGGGCCGGGGTGACCAGGCAGCTCTGCTGGGGAACACTCCTGACTGAAGCAGGGTGGCTGGAATCCCCAGCAGCAGCAGGGCGGCCCTAGCAGCAGGGCGGGATGGCTAGGTGGCCCGAGCTGGGGAACCCCAGCAGAGCTGGCAGCGGCCAGGTGGCCCCTTTGTGGAAGCCACAGTGTCCTGTCCAGGATGACAAGGACAAGCCTGACTTCAGATTTACCCTTAAAACAACCTTAGCTACGGCCTTCTCAACAGATGGTTCAATGAATGCAGCAGAGTTCTCAGCCAGGGCCCTGGGATGGCGTCCAGCTCAGCAGCAAGGCACCACATCTGACCTACAATGCAGACACTCACTTCAAACAAATCCTGTGCTCATCCAAATTCACAGCCGCCCTGCAAATTATTGGAAAGAAATTGGATAAGATCCTGGCTGAGACTGGGCATCCTTCGCAAGGGCCCCACCATTCTTCCATTTTCAGGCTGCTTTCGAGGGCCAGCAGTTGAGAAAGATGCACTGGACATATGGCCTGTCCTCTAAGGGGCACAGATCTTGATCTTTTTGAGGACAGTAATCAATGCTAAGGGGTTATTCCTTCACCTGGTCACTGTTTAGCTCGATAAATAACAGAAGCACATTCCCCCTGGAAATTCCTGCTATTTTGGATTCTGTTCAGGAGAGTATGGACAAGGCATAATGTGTCATCCTAAGTAGTGTCTTAACTGAAGGCCGGTTTAAGGACTCCAAAATCCATGTTTTATGAAAAATGAAATCCTCTTTCCATGCTTTACAGGAAGTGATACTTCCATCATTCTGTCCAAATCTACTGCACCATACTGAAAAGCTCTGCCATTACAGATTCACCCCACACACTGAATCCAAAAGAATTTCAGGCTTCTTGTTTAGCTCCTTTTGCTCAAAGTGCACAGAGCATCTCTCCTGGATGGATGGCTCATGTTACACATTATAGAGTCACATGAGGCGTAAGGTGAAGTATTAAGGCACATACTACAAGATCTATGGTGACATCATGGACTGAAATACCTTGTGTTTCAATTGAAAAAATTTCAGGGCAGCAACATGATACTCTTTCAGCATCTTTATAAGACACTTTAAGGCCTGCAGAGGCCTCCTTTGCCAGAAAGATCTTGCATGTGGAGATTCCAAACAAACTTACCATTTACTTTCAAAGGGAGACTTCTTGTTTTCAGTTTGAATTGTTATCCCTCCTTCCATCCCTCAGGTACAGGTCAAAGTACTGTGTACACGCTAAGTTCTTCTGTGCCACTTTATATATAGTTTGTTTTCTAAAACTATTTTGCTGCTTTATAATGCTAGATTGCCAGATACATAATATTGTATTTAGAAACAAAGTGAATGATGGTGTTTATTTAGTAGAATGATAAATATACATAAAAGAACTTCAGCTACAACTACAGTTTAATAACATGTATCTTTTAAAGTTACCTACTCTGTATTTTAGAGAGTTAGTGCATCTATCTGTCCGTCTGTCTGTCTGAGAGTCCATTTGTTCAGTCTTCTAGTTTAACTACATTTGTTACATAGCTCAGATTATAAGCCTCTGTTTTCTAATATACACTAGAGGATTTACCTGGCATTGCTCAAGACCTTGTTGGGGGCTCAGGGCAGAGTAAGATGGATGCAGAAGTCAGGGCAAGATGTGGGGGGAAGCAGGAGTAAGGACTGGGGGTGGGAAGTGCAGGAGTCAGGGCAGGAGGTTGGGTTTGGGGAGGCGGGGACCAGGGCCAGGGATTATGCTGGGGAGAGAGGTTGCCAACCAAACTGACTGGGGTGATGGGCGTTGGGGGCTGTGCTAGCCAGACAGTGGCTCCCTGGAGTTTCCTTGGGTAGTAGGGGTCAGCAGGTACGGTGGCCAGCAACAGACAGATCCTCTTCCCCAGCCGGCCCCTCTCTTCCCAGAATGGCTGCCCCCATGTGGTCATTCGACGGCATGACTATCACTGCTAGCAGACTCCTTCCTTTCAGTTTTATGAGAAACAATTGAATTCCAGGCACATCCCATTGCCCTGGCACAACAAAACTCTGACCTTGCTTTAAGTTATGATAGGAGGAACTGGTATACCAAGTTTGGTAATTCTAGCTCTTACCATTTAGAAGGAGTTCGTGAATAAACACACACACACGCTCATCTCTCATATATAGTAGATGACATTAGAGTGCTTGTTTTCTTTTCTCTATATCTTTATCTGGTCTGGTAATGTAATAGCTTCTAGGGATAGTTTGTATCAGGTTGGTTACCTTATTGTATTTTGTTAGGGTCACTGTAGCAGGCTCCCTTCTGGATCACCACAAATAGTTTGGCCATGTCAGAGTTTATAAGCACCGGTGTGTAATGCATTGGGTCCCCTCCACCAATTCACGTACAGTGCCTTATGCAGCAACATACAAGTTGATGTAATCTTCCCTGTTAGTCTACTCTCTGGAGATGAAGAGGCAAAACTTCAATATTGTGAGATCCTCAGTCTACCCTCTGGCCCTGGCCAACCACCCCTTTTCACTTCCTTTCTGTTGCTTAACTCTTCCCAGCAGATGGGTTGTTTGCTGTCATTAGCTCATCAACCTCTGCCTGAATAAGGTATTGAGCAGCAATTCCCTCCCCATTACATCCACTCTGAGGGAAATAGCTACTGTTTAGTGACCAGAGTGCTTAGTCATCTCTAGGCTCCTAGCACTCTGTCACAGGCACTGCCAATCTTCGGAGAATATAGCTGCCAGCCATTCTACCAACAGCAATGATTAAGCTGGTGCCCAGGGTCTTAGAATAGTTTCTGTCATTACTTCTACGTTTGAACAAAAAGTTTCGTTCTATTATATGCATTAAGGCATTCTGCTGCCCAGGGGTCAGGAAGGCTGGAAGCCCTTCCCTCTCCCTTTAAAACTCCCACATGATTTTGAAAAGCCTTTTCCCCAGTTTCCTACCTTGGCAGGCACACCTAGCAGTTTGCTTTTGCTATGTACATCCAAATGACCATGCAGATTTTGTGGATGCGTAGAGCTATTAGATGTGGCTTATGGGAAGTCGAGACTGCAAGAACTGCTGTGCACCAGCCATATAAACATCGATATTTACGAGAAGATTTCAGGAGTGATGGTGGCAAAGGGACATGACATGGATCAACAGCAGCACTATGTGGAAGTGCAGAAACTATGCCAGACATGTCACAAAGTGAAGGAGAGTAACAAGACATCTGGTGCTGCCAGGTAGCCCTGCCACTTTTACGTACTTGGCAGAGCCCCAACCAACATCCTGGGAACAAGTTTGGATACCTTGGAAGAGCCCAAGATAGACACTCCTGCCATGAACAGCGTGGAAGAAGAGGAGAGGGGAAATGCTGGTGTGGGAGAGGACTCAAACTGTGCCATAAGCCAGGAGCTGCTTGAAACTCTGCAGGAGTCTAGCCATTCCTTCCAGGCAAGCAAAGATGAACTTGCTGAGGAAAGAGAAGGGAGCTTGGGGTAAGTGTGTACATGCGTTATTCTCCCCCTCCTCCCCTTCTCTAAATCCTCATCTCCCTCCCTCCTTCCCTTCTGCCTTTTGTCTTCCTTTAAAAATGGCACTTGGCACATCTACCAGTACTGCTATGCAGAGTACTGGGGATATTCTGCGGTCCTCTCCCAAAGGCTTCTAGAAGTGGCAGATTAGTTTCTTCCCCTGGGATAGAAACTTTCCCATGCCACACTGTGACGAATTCAGCTTACACCATTTGCAGTAAACAGGCCAGC